TTCATCATCCATTCCTCTACATTAATGGGATTTGGCAGTGCCAATGCGGAAAAAAAAGAAGACATAGTTCAGAAATACTCACAGAGGGGGCTACTAAAAAGCTTCTATGCCACTTAGATCCATTCATCAAATTCCTAATACACGCATTCTACTTTTTAGGGATCTAAGTAGCACAGAGGACACGACTCATTAAGGCAGAATATTGATTCAGTTATGCACATGCTTGGCTCGAGAATGTATTAGTGGGTACATGCAAGCAAACAAGAACATATTCATGAGCATATTGAACAACATATTTGATTTATGCATGCATGCACAAACCAAGATATTGCCATTATTCCACATATATAACTGGAGATATGGTGTGCACAAGATCGAGCTTGAGTTTGGGGAAGTATGCCTTATACCTTTTCTTGTAGATCTAGAACCTCGATTTTTCTGCTTGTATTAGGCGGATTTCAAATTTTGCAGTTGCTTTATTTGTGTTCTTGACCCTCTCCGCTGATTGTTGAACCTGCACTGAAAGCACACATGCATGAGGGTTTCGTCTATTTTCTAATAAAAAAAGGAAACTGGAAACGGAGATGTCTAAGAAATGGTGGTGTGGGTTGTATTGGTTTTGGGTTGCAGGCCGAGAAGATTAGAGAGGAAGGATGACATATGAGGCTGAAGATTATAGAGAGAAATGAAGAGAGAGGAAGAGAGCTCTCATGGCTCTAGGCAGTGGCGAAGCCAGGATTTTTGGGAAGGAGGGGCGAACTTAAGAGAATGCAAGGGTAAAGAAAAATGGCAACAACTAAATCTTTTTATATAGTAATGTCTTCGATAATTAATCAATACAAACAAATTATAATTGTTGCCGGCAAGGTTTCATGTCATGAAAACGTCGCATAATAGGCTTATTATCAATAAAAGCAAATACATATTTCTCAACGTAAACAAGCATGCTATCACTCAATGTAAAAAAGCAAATATTTCTTGGAATATTTGAAGGAGGAGGAGGACTACTCAGAATATTTGAAGCAGAAGGACTACCCGAAATGTTTGAAGGAGGATTTAAGCATTGTTTCTTATAGTATCGTTCCATTACGTAATTGTAAAATGGAAAGAAAAACAAATCTTAGACTCTTAATCCTAGAGTAAACTATACTAATATCATAATAATTAATCCAACCAACAATTCAATTAATCAATACCAATTAGCATACAAATTATTCAATAAATAAAAATTCAATTCAACTAATCATATGAATAATTGTATACATTATATAATAATTCAATTGATTAATCAATAATCAAGAATTTAAATTTAAATTTTCACCCTAAAAATTAATTTCATAATATCATATCAATAATCAACAACCAATAACTAACTTAGTGCATTACCATATTAATATGATTCTATTTCTATACCAATTAAATAAAATTCGTATTAAATAATTATTTAGGGTTAGGTAGGGATTATAAATTTACCTTTGGATTGAAGTTTGAAGGCTGGCCTGGTGGCAGCCAGCGGCTCAGTGGCTGGCCTGGTGGCAGCCAGCGGCTCAGTGGCTGGCTGGAGCTTGGAGTAAGACTGTGAGAGTAAGAGTAAACGGCGGCTGGAGTGAGCCTGTGAGATGGCTCCATTCCGTTCTGTTGGCTACTGGGATTGGGGGGGCAGCTTTGCTGCTTTCTGTGTGTAACTGGCCTTGAGAAAGGCTGAGAGAGAAAAGAGAGGCTGAATGAGGGACACGCGGTCCCCCCCACCACCATAAATTATATTTTTTCAAACAGACGGTACGACGTCGTTTCGTCTAAGTTTTCTAATTTTTTTTTTACCAGGACCAAAACGACGTCGTTTTGGCCTGGATTTAAATAAAAAAACAGAAAGATTCCACTTTGCTGCAGCAGAATAGAACCAGTTCGAAGGAACAGAGGGAGCGGAGCTGCGGAGGGGCTGGGTTTTCCGGCAGGAGGGGAGGGGCTAAACCTGCGCTGGGGCTGTGTTTTCCGGCGAGGAGAGTGGCGGTCGCCACTCCTCGCCCTCACGTGGCTTCGCCACTGGCTCTAGGCTCGAGGCTAGAGAGAAGAGGGGATAAGAGCTCAATGGCAGAAATGGGAAATTAAGGAAGTGGGAAGGGGGAGGGGTTTTATTTTGGAATCTTTTCATTACTGTCGGTTAAAACCGACAGAAACATTTTTTTAAATAAAAACCGACAAAAACATTTTCATTACTGTCAGTTATAACCGACATAAACAAAATGGCAGCAAAAATCCCCCCAAAATTCCCTCCCAAAATCCCCCCAAAATTTTGTTTCGATTTAAAAAAATAAAATAATAATTGTTTGGTTTAATAAATAAATAAATAATATGTATTTAAATTAAATACGTTTTTAAAAATTAAATAAATAATTGTTTGGTTTAATAGATAATAACCCATGTAAAATATGCGATAAAGAAACAAAAATATAATTGTACAATGAAAATGTCATCACACAAACTAAATATTGTCTAATCAATACTTGAAAACATAAATAAAAATTTAGCACAAATTACTTTTCCCACTTCAAAATTTAGGAAAATTTAACGGAGATATGCATTCTACGAAACTAGTTTCCATGATCTAACCGTCAAACTTGTTTGTAGATACTACAAGATCGCATATGTAAAAAAATCGCAAAAAAAAAAATTCAAAGATTAGGTAACAAAACAAAAGTTTTCAACAGTTATAAACAAAAAATCACAATTTAACGATTATTTTAGCTTCGGTTTTGATGATTTTTACAGCTACAATCCTCGACCTTATAAGAATGCAATGAACGAATTCGATCTTCAATTTAAAATATTTACACTAGTGGGTACCACAAACTCTTATTTTATACTTAATGGAAGTATAATATTAACTCTAAGTATTTGTTTAATCTACCGTTTTGACGCGATATGCATTATACGAAACTTTTTTCAACGATTCAACCGTCAAACTTGTTTGTACACACTTTAAGATCGCATACATAAAAATCACAAAAAACAAACATTTAGAGATTAGGTAACGAAACAAAAGTTTTCGATGGTTATAAACGAAAAATCACAATTTAACGGTTATTTTAGCTTCGATTTTGATGATTTTTTATAGCTACACTCCTCAACCCTATAAGAATGCAATGAATAAATTTGATCTTCAATTTAAAATATTTACACTAGTAGATCTTACTTTATACTTGATGGAAGTATAATATTAACTCTCAAGTGTTTGTTTAATCTACCGTTTTGACGTGATATGCATTCTAAGAAACTTTTTTCAACGATCCAACAGTAAAACTTATTTGTACACACTCTGAGATTGCATATGTAAAAAAATTGTAAAAAACAAACATTTAGAGATTACGTAACAGAACAAAAGTTTTTGACAGTTATAAACGAAAATCACAATTTAACTATTATTTTAACTCTGATTTTAATGATTTTTTTACAGCTACACTCCTCGACCCGATTTTAACAAAAAATCACAATTTTAACGATTTTAACAAAAAATCACAATTTTAAAGATTTTAATGATTTTTTACAGCTCTGGTTATAAACGAAAAAAATATATTAAAACATGTGTTTATTTATTTATTTTTAATCAATATAAAATTTTAAAATAATAAAATCAGACATGATAGAGTATACCACATGTTCATGTGTGTTTATGTGCCAGACAATGTGCTTTGTGACGCATTGAAAAAAATTGTTTGAATTTCTTTGTATCTTGTTGCTTGCCTGTGAGGGAGTATAATCCTTATTACAAAAATGATAGAGCTTCATATTGTAGTCCGTTGTTATTATTCTCTCAGAAAATTTATGGCTCTGTGGGAATTGGGTTCATTAGACTTTAGGGTCATGAGTGAAAAAAAATATTTAAAATATGTGTTTATTTATTTATTTTTAATCAATATAACATATTAAAATAATAAAATTTTCATTTATGTCGGTTATAACCGCCAGAATACTAAAATAATAATCGTCAGAAAGTAAAATAATAAAATAATCAATTTCTGTTGGTTATAACCGTCAGAATCTTCAAAAATATTTTACAAAAAAAGATTCAAAAATATTGTCGGTTATAACCAACAATATGTTTTTTATATCCACCAGGACTTTATGTCGGATATAACCGACAAATTTTTCTAATATCCGCCACTAATTAAATGATGTGTTGGATATATTTTATCTGACATGATTTTTCTAATATCCGCCATCATCATCCGCCACCTAAAGCTAATATTGTAGTAGTGGCTCTTGGGCCTGTTTGCTGGCATGTCCCCTGAGCAACAACCCACGGTGGAGTGCTCTAAGGGGGGGGGGGGGGGGGGGGGGGTCATAAGATATATAGATCCTTTGTTTCAATTTTGTTTTTTACTTTGGGCCCTGACAAAGGATTGAAGCTCATAAAGCTCGTTAGATCTTTAAGATTAAACTGGAATAAATAATTCGTTAAATTTAAATTATTTAAGTATATTGCAAGTAAAGAAACATTATTTTTCATGTTCAAGAGAAGAAAAATAAACATAAAGAAAATTTATCACCTTCAATCATTCTATTTCTGCAAAAATTAGAATCGAAAAGTTTTCTTTAAAATATGCAAAGGAATTGGAATCACCTCTTTTCCCCTCTACATTTCTCACCTTCACTGAGTTGAACCCAAATTTCTATAGTTTAACAAATGAGAACGAATCCTCAGTTTCACCTTCTAGTCTTGCCGGCTTGCCAGCCAGCAGATTTATGACCATTACAAATCTTGAAAATAAAATTGAAAAATAAAATTTTAATACGTTATGAACAACCACTAGTACAGTTTTATCACTTAAAACAAGCCACTTGTCAAAACGGTGACCAATATATATATTACAAATAGATTCATATAAAATCTACCCCAGATAACTTGGCAAATGCGTTGTGTGATCGTGATACGTAATCATTTTTCTCCTTTATATTTATTTTCTTTAACAAATAATAACTTTGATAGAAAGGCACGTCGGATGTTTAGCTAAATCAGACTCTTTGGTTGTTCTTGTGTGACTTTGCAAAGTCCAAAGCCCTCCTCAGAACCTCACTCCCTTAGTATTAATCCACCAGATCCATGGGACTCTTGCCCTCCAAGCTCCCAACACTCTCCTGTTCTTGCTCTTAGGGTTTTTGTCCCTCCTTTAACACCTCTCACTATATCTTCACCCCCAACACCTAACTTAATTTCCACATCTCTCAATCTTCTTCTTCATCACCAATAACACCGAGGTATGTTTCTTTATGCTTTTGTTGTTTTGTTTTATGGAACTTGTGCATGCGTATATAGAAATGTTCTCTTGTTAGACTGTATGTCTGATTAGAATACATGATATAGGAAAAATGTTCTTTTATCACACTGTCTAGCTACTTAACATGGCAAGGAAACATTACCCTACAAATTATGAATTCGATACTTTGTTAATTTTCGTTCCTTTTCGTTTTTTAACCAATATGATTTCAGGAGCAGAGCCAGGAATTTACTTTTTTGATCGTTATTTGATGGGATTGAACAAGGAAGACAAAGAAACAATAAGTTACTTGGAGCAACGAAGAATTGTGGAGACAAGAACAGCTTGCTTTTGGTCAGTTCTGGTGAGTGTGGTTGGAGGACTCATGTTAGGGTGGTGGGAGTATCAGTATCATCCTGCAAATAAGCAGCTGTGGATGGTGCCCTTTGGTCTCGTCCTATTTGCTACCCCAGCCATCGTTTGGTTCTCCGTCGTGGCCTCCGATATCTGTAATCCGAACAACCATTATGTTCTGAGGGTGAGTCAACCCGTTCACCTCAATGACTCGGTGGTTCCGGCCAAAAAAGATGAGCAATGGAGTAACCATGTGGATCGTGTATAGATATTAAAAAAATAATAAAATTATATATATATATCTGTTAACATGCGTGGAGTTTTTCTATAAGAGACCTGTTGACTATTAATTAATTTTTGTGGTTTATCTTGATATAGAATTACATTAGTAGTACGATTTAGTTTTGGTAGTTGCTGTATAAAGTTAGGAAACACTTCGTTTTTAATTTTAAAAAAAATAAAATAAAACTACATATTGAAATGATTATCAAGCAAGCCTAAGTTTTTCATTCTAAACTCTATTTAATAGTATCTGTAATCAATTTAAAAAGGAAAATTTTATTTGAACTCATATAACATTTTTACACACCCAACTTGCTCTCTACACCTATATTATTTTTAATTAAAGATTTAATATCTTTTTAAACTCAAATTTACTATCTAAACTACCCTCATAAATCCAATTCAATATATATATTTATCTTTACACCCATTCCTTACCGATTTTCTCGCTGATTGATCACCTTACTTCGGAGGTTTGCTATTACAAGCTGATAGATCAGTAGAAAGAATAAACACAAGCTCATGATCAAACAAAAATATGAACTATATCAAACATAACTAGTCTACCATAATATCATACCTTAAGACCCTTTCTACCTACACTTTTCTGGACCTCTTCAAGCATAGTGATCCCCCTAGTATCGATGCTTCCAACATCTGTAATTTGATTTTAATTTTAGCATTAGACTCGTAGTAAAGCTAAAAGGCAGATATCGTAAAAGTTTAATTTGTGACCGTTGCAGATTGATCACTTGCCAATATCTATTATAACATAGTGTAAGCTTGTTTCTCCAGAAGATTTTATCTTGTCTTCCTCCTCATGTACCACTTTGAGATCCTATGAACCAAATTTTGTGCATAGATTAAATCTCTATCCTGCTTACTACGTTTTCTTCATATATCGATATCTAGCTTGTATTTTATTACCTTTCCCTTAAATAGTTTGCATTAGCAAAAGTAGATATTGGTGCATCAATTTGAAGAATAATAACTCGTGGAATATTATTCAAAACGTATAATCTATGTTTCTACAAATCGACGATGGGGTCTCATCACTGGACAAAGAGGATACTTGACATCTCCCTTCCTCACCACGGCATTCAAGGTCATGGCTCCTCTGTTTGCTGTTTATCCAAGGCGTTTGGCTTCTATTAGAATTATTCTTTTATCAAGTTTGAAGATTAAGCTGTACTTCCTCAAGATGAAATAGATATTGAGCCTTATATGCTTGGAAACATATGGATGTCTAGTTTATGAAGAATTTTACGGTTCGTGATTTTCGATTTTTCTAAAAGATGTTATTGCTATTTATAGTGCAGACAACACATAATGATGATTTCTTGCAAATAAATGGCTCACATAAATGTCGATTAATTGCGTGATGAAAGTAGGATAAGCATTGCGTGATAGTAGAGTTTGATTATTTGAGATGTGGGGTTATTAATAAATTTTGATTTTATTGTTAATTTCATCTTGTACTTGGTAGTAATTATGCAATAGGGTAAAAAAAAATAATTCACAATTAAAATTAAAATTTGATGTAAAAAGAAATTATATATGTTCAAATAAAATTTCTCATTTAAAATCACAGACAGGGGATTGGGTGGTATATGGGTCAGGTTTGTGTGGTTATAATCACATCATTGATTCATTCATTGTTAAATAATATAAAGGGAAGAGAGCTGTCGGGGAATCAAGTTTATATGATATAACATAAACAGGTTAACAATGTTGCCTACCCTAGTTTTGCATTGTTCCAAATAATATTGATGCTCATCGATAAAAAAAAAGTCTTTCAGGGAATCTTCTCTTTCCTCGAGTAAAAGATTATTTTAGTGAAACTCTGAAAGCGTGATTACTCAAAAAAAATTTAAGTAAAACTTTGAATACGTGTAATCAATGGAAAAACCATACATCTCAGGTACACGTAAACGTTGTACCCTTTGTAGGAGTTGAAACTAACATTAAAGTGGTTTGCTTGGATAGTCATCTTTTTACTACTAAGCCACAGGCTACTCGGATTTTAATTGAAGGCTTATTTTATGAAATGCTTCTTGAAACTCGACTTCACCTAACTTTCTTTCTAGAGCCAAAATTTTACGATTTTACACCTTGAACCTCTATTCACTTCACTTTAACAAGATTCTGTCAAATCAGTAAAAATGGCGTTTACCTTGCTAATGTGACCATGATGGATCCGCTAATTTGCTGATGTGGCAGTCACATCAACTTTTTTATGCCAATTGGTGGCACCCTCCCCCAATCCAAACCTTTCTTTCTGTCTCACTCTCTTTCCTAGCCCCATTTCCCAAGCCGCCGTCACCGAGCCGCCTCCCCACCATGAGCACTCTTGCCACCACACGCCACCATCCACTCTCCCAAGAAGACACCTCCCCATGCCTAGCACTTTCTGTGGTTAATACAGCACGAGGAACAGCTGCAACGGGCGGCGACTTCCGTGCCTGTATATAGGGGTGGATTTTTTTGCCAAATTACCGTGCCAACCGAATTGCCAACCGTGCCATACCGATTTTGTGCCAAATGTTTCGTACCAATCGGTAATGGTACGGTATTGTACCGTACCGAAATTTCATGGTACGGTATTGGTAATGGATACCATTACCACGGTATTACCATACCATACCGAAAATACAATATAATATATAATTTATAACTTATATAATAGATAATTATATAACACATATTTATAATATTCCAATAATTTGAAAATAAAATCCTAATTATATTAGCATTGTTGTTGGTGACTTTGATCTCTTGAAATTGTGGAAATCAAACACAAAAGAGTTCCTAATTCTTTCACAAATATCCAAAATATCTTTGTAACCGCCACTTCTAGTTTTGCTAGTGAAAATGCATTTAGCCTAAGGAGGAGGGTTGTGGACCCTTTAGGGTATCATTTTATCCTAAAATAATGGAGGCACTAGTGCGTACTAGTGGTTGGCTTAGGGCAAATGAAGTAAACTTCTACAAGGAACCAACGGAAGATATGCTTCAATTTTACAAGGAAATGGAAGAAGAGAAAACAAGAAATATATGCTTTAATTTTTTAGTAAATTTGTTATTAAATGGTTTTCAACTTTAATTCTTCTTGCTACTAATTAATATGTTTTCTTTGTTTGTAATGTAGGCTTGACACAAACTCAATCTTCTACAAGTTCAATGTCTCCTCCAAAAGCTTCGACATCTTAAGCTTGAATAATTGATCAATGAATTCTACTTTTTGAAGTTTACTTCCAACTTTCATTTGGTTTGAAACTTTAATTTCTATTTGGATTGTTAACTTCTATTTGTTTTGATTCGTAACTTCTATTTGGATTGTAAGCTTAATTTTCATGATGAATCTTGATGCATCTTTTGAATTATTATGTGTGTGAATTGTGAATGATGAATAATAGATGAATTTAATCTATAATGTATGAGATAAAGGTACAAAAAAAAGTTTTTCCCTTGAATTGGGTTAAAAAAACAAAAACAGATTTTGTCCCAAAACAAAATGGCAATTACCATTGCCATACAATGCCAACCGAACTTTTGGCAATACCGAAAGTTTGGTACGGTAATGGTAATAGATTTTACCAAACCGAAAGTTTGGTACGGTAATTGGTACAAGGGGTTTGGTACGGTAACCGTACCGAACCCACCCCTACCTGTATATGCCCTAACACACGCATAAAGACACATATACGCACATGCATACACACATACATACATAAACATATAAATTTTTACTAGTTCGCTATTTGTCTGTCGAGAAGTCCGAGGAAAGTGAAAAAAAAAAAGGAAAACTAATGAAAAGGGCTTGAAAACTTTGAGTTTTAATGATAAGGACAAAATAAAGGGTAAAGTGAATAGTACCAGGATTGACTTTTTAGTGTAAAAATATGATTTTTCGTTAAAGTGAACAGTACCGGGTGTTTTTCGTTAAAATTCCCAAAAAAAAAAAGAAATTACTTTGCTATTCTCGTAATCGATAAACATGTAATCATATCCCAATTTCACTTTCGCAAAGCAAACGAAAATCAAAATTTCAAGAGCTGCATATCTTTTCTTCCTTTTCTTTTTCACGAAGAGTTTATGGGAAGCCAAACAGAAAATCACAGAAAAACTATGCTAAAAACATTCACTGCAACATTTCCACCCTCTTCTGAAAATCTGGAATCTAAGAACACTAAATGCACGTAAAGTTCGATGAGTAAATGATCAAATGGGGGCACGCAGTGGCAAGAGAGCTCAGAGCGGGGAGTTGGGGTGGTGCTGGCTTGGGAAATGGGGTTGGGAAAGAGAGACGGAGAAAGAAAGAGGAGGCGTGGGGAAGGTCCCGCCAATTGGCATACAAAAAGTGATGTGGCTGCCACGTCAGCAAATTAACGGGTCCGGTCCATCACCACATCAGCAAAGTTAACACCAATATAACAGATTGGATAGAATCTCGCCAAAGTGGAGCGAATATTGAGTTTCAAGGTGTAAAGTGGCAAAATTTTAGTTTTAAGGGGAAAAATGAAATTGAGAGTGAGTTCCTTGGGGCATTACAAAAAATAAGCTAAAAACTGCAAGAAAGAAGCGAGCAAGTGAATCAAAACTAACTTTATCCAGTGGAACACACTTGCGCCTGATTTATGATCAGCAAATATTTGGTGATTTACAACTTCAAACCCAATTTTCAGCCAACTGGACATCCAAATTATCACCCCAAGTCTACATCAACATCCCGTGCAATGTGAATGAGTTACTGGCAATTACAATTTCCAGCAACGAATAGTTTGAGGAAGTAGAGCAAACTTAGCTACACATCAATATAGATTTATACATCTCAGTATAAAATCTTCGACGCAACTACTTCAAGCACAGCCTTTTTCCCATATCCAAGAAATTGGGGTACACGTAGTTTGGACGAGGGACAAGACATGGAGGAGAAGAACAATCTGTATAAAAAATTGATGGGTAGCTAACTGAGTTTTTTCCCCAAGCAATCACTTTCCTAGTTTCCTGTTAGGGTGATCCTTCTGAATCCAATTTTTCTTCAATGTATAAAAGTAAAAATAAATAACCATGACTCAAATTTAAATCCTCTCCTAACTATAGACTAAGTTGACTAAATTGGACACGGGGTAATACACCTTTTTAGACCCATTGTAATCAGCATGTATGAGTCCGTAAAGATATCTAAATGGCTGGTGGGAGGTAAAAGTATAGGAATTCACCAAGCATCAAGCCTCAGTATCTGAAAGTGTCGGAAACTCCAGTCCCCGAAGGGCAGGTACGTTGTCTAAATCCTCTTTTGAGAACAGTGGTAAGAGCCACAGTGCCTTCTTCGTGCCGAAAACCTACAGGACAGGATAAGAGTTAAAAATTATCAAATGTCTGATGGAAAAGGGGGTTACATAAGCAGTGAGAGAGAGAGAGAGAATTCCACCTGCTCAAAATTCTTCTTCCTGCCCAAGTCGTACTTCCATCTGATTGCTCCTCTCTTTTCATGAACCTGAAACATTGTTTCAAATAGTTGCATACAATTGCGATGTAATAAGACATGATAAATCATAAACATGTGGCATTATTAAATTCTTTGTAGATTCAGGTTACTCTGATATTTGGATCATTTTAGGCAACTGTAGCAAATTCTTATTGTACAATGTATGTATTCATAAATTAATATAGAACCTCAAGCAGAGGGTAGTAGCCAGATGAACATAATTTTATCAGGTAATTCAGGTCTCAAATGGTAAGTGCAAACTGTGAAAATATTCATAAATCTCAAAAATGGTAGAAAGAAAGTAGCAGGTGAGTGTATTACCTCAACCGTAGTAGTGTTGCTTGACAGAAGGGACGCATGCATAACCACAAAACAAAGAAGACTCAGTGCAAAGGCTAAATTAAGCACTGCAACAAGGTAAACAATCTTTAAGGAGCAAGTAAACAATGAAAGTGGAACCAATATGTGGACATGAAACTGATTTACTCGGTGGAATATTACCAAATGTCAAAAAAATGACTGCAAGATTTCCAGGAGATTCAGAATGATCCGTGGCTTCAGAGAAGAAATCGATAAAATTTGGCAGCAAAACTAAGGTATCCATTGTTGTCTCCAGAAATGTATAAAGCTTTCAAGGCACAAACAGAAACTGGAACGAGTGAGCAAAAACAAAGGGACAGTAAAATAGCCAATTACTACTACTTTTAAAGTTTATTTGCACACCAGAAGGTATTTATTTTATAATCAATTGCATTTCCCATCTCTCTCTACGACCCCAACTTCCCCCAACACACACACATGTCAAAGATAACTCAAACATCTCCAGTTCCCAGCCCTAGATTCTGTGGGATTGCCAGCCTTTGAACAAAAAATCTGGTGGGGAAGGAAATCTACACAAATTTCTTATTTCGTGAGTCATGACTGCAAGTACATTAATAAGAAAAAGGAATATGTCATTACCAAGAAAAGAAGAAAAAACTTGTAGTTGCGTGCACCAACACAATTCACCACCCAAACACAATGGTGATCCATCTTAAGTACACATCTTTGGCCTACAGAGCATAAAAGAAAACAAAAAGATTATCACTTAATAGACAGTTTCACTGATCACTGAATGTTAAATAAGGATAGCGACAATGTTCCAAAGTTGTCAGGTTATCAATGATGACATAGAGTTGCAAACAAAGAACACGCCAAAAGGACACATGCTACCACAATTTAAATAACTGGATAGGATGTTAAAGACGTCAGATTGACATTTAACAGTCTTAAACCATCTCTCAATGCATATCCTTGCTGACCAAGTTCTCAGGAACTTCCATAAACAGTGGCAAAGAGAGAAACATCCAACGGTAAATGATAACTTTATTGATAAAACCTCTAGAAACTTTATTGATAAAGCTGACAACGCAAAAATGTGAGAGTGAATTCATATATTTGGTACCACCCATGGGACTGGGAATATTTTCTAGGGAGATTCTATCAAGGATAAATGGCATCTCCTTGCAAGAAATATAAAAATCAAGGATAAAAGGTACTCTTACATGCATATTGGAAGCAAAGAAGAAAAATAAATGCTCCATGGGAAAATGCACAAAAATCAATAATGCATGCCCAGATACAAGCAACATATGTATCGTCAACATTAGAAAAAAAGTTGCTTACAGACAGAGCAATGATGGCATCGTGGTGGCTTGCCATTTTGGCATCGACTACAATACCCTACTTGTGGTCTTCTTTCTCGTCCATCTGAAGATTGTGTTGAAGTGAATGCCTCAGGTTCGATATTTTCTGACAAAGTCAGAGAACTACCAGCCTCTAAGTTTTCCTCCTCTATTAGAGGTTTCCAATTTTCCGGAACAGAACCAGGATCTTTAAAGACTACCATAAAGTAACTCCACAGTAACATTACAAGCTGCAACAAAATACAAATTCAAACCGAGGGCCAAACTCAAGAGTTAGTTTTCTACCAAATCAATCTTTCTACTCAATTCGGCCTTCTCAGAAGTCATAAACAAATAACATTATTTATCAATGTATTCTCATTTTAAATTTTGCTATAACAAGCTTGAAAAAATCATATATGACACGAAATCAACATTCACTCTCCTTAGTCTTTGTCAAAGGCAAAACTCCCACGGGTCCTCGACGTAAGTATGAAACGTACCTCTCTACTTACTAAGTTTTTTAGAACAGTTGTAAACCAGCCAGCAAAACTGAACCCAATATTTGATTTGTCTCCCCGAATTTCAGGTCTAATTTCAAATCCAGCTCTTATTAGCTTGTCAGACATTCGAGACCAACTTCGTTCAAGCTCATCCATCAATCTAAATTAGTAAATTGTACTAACTAATCTAAATTGTGCTCATTGCAGCAGTTATCAATCTAATTAATCTACTTCGATGCTATCTAACCACGTCAATTTAACTCTATTAATTAGACTCTAATCATACAAACAATAGCATCAACAGAAATTAACACACAACACACAAAATAAAAATCAAATCTTTTTCCAAAATAAAAACTGGGTTGTTTACAATTTCCAATTTCCCGATTGCCCTTTAATTAAGATTAAAAAACAACAGAAAAGGGAAAAAAAGAGAAAACTTGAAGCATCCACAACTGAAATAGTTGAGAATTACCAGAATATGGAACATTACGATGATGAAGAAAGCTAGAAACGAGTGGACCCCGCCGCGGAGCAGCTCGGGGCCCCAAGTGACGACGACGATGGCGTAGTAGGAGACGGAGATGATGGCGGCGACGAGGAGGATCATGAAGTAACCGATGACTTTGAGGCCGGAGCAGAGCCTGAACATGTTTATCTCCATTCCGGAATTGATTGGGACTCGAAACGGCCGAGATATCCCGATTTGGAATTGGGGGAGGGTGATTGGCCGCCTGGTTCGCGGGGGGAAGAGGCGTTTCCAGATGTCAGGAGCCAGGATTAAGGTGTTCCGGAGAAGGATTGTAGTGTTCCGGGATTTGGAGATGGAAGCGGTAATGGACTCTCCAGAGTGAAAAGTCGACTTCTACTTTTGACATTTTACTGCTGCACTAGTTGTAACCGAGTTTGGTACTTTGGGCGCGTCGGAGGATTTGTCACAAACCCATTCCACCTCTTCGTCTCCCCGCCCACCAACTTCAAACCTATGCTAAAAGTCAAATTTTAGCCCAAGATTTCCCCCGAACACCACCCAACCCAAGTTAAAATATTGGGCTAAAAGGGGAATGCTAAAACTGGGCTAAATTCCCCCTATCCGCGTGGACTCGCCACAATTTGGGCCACTCTCGGCCCGCCCACTCGCGGACGCGCCCCAAGGGCCTGGTTTGCATTTGCTCCCGACAACGCAGGGTCCCACTGCCAGGGCCCTGTCGGCCACTACCCCCAACCTAACGGCTCTTTTCCTCATCCGACGACCATCATTTAAGGACCGTTGGTTGATCGAACGGTCCAAATTCAAATTTCATTTTTAAAAAATATGTTATTTTAAAATATATTGAATCCAACGGCTGAGATCGAATGTAATCAAATCTAACGGTAAAAAAAGGATCTAACGGCCCAAATTTAAATCCAACGGCTAAAATTATTTAAAAAAATTATTTAACTCAAAATTTACCCAAAAACTCTATAAATACCTATGTATTTGTTCAAACATCCACACAAAACTCAATTTTCTCCTACAATTCTTCCAATTTATCTTTCTACCATTTCTTTCCATTTCCAAATTATTCAACATGGCAAAAGAGCATGTTACAGGTCGTAATTGGGCTAAATTGTCGTTTGAAGGCCTGCTTTGTGAAAAATTTAATGATTTTTCAATATTTATCGGAATTTAAATTTTTTTAGATTAAAATGTTCACAAAATTAATTTACAATAGTCTACATATTTATTTTTTTTTTTAAATTGATTTAAGAAAAATATTAGCCTAAGTTCATTATTTAATAATCCCGGGCTAAAATTTTAGGCCATAAGGGTTGGAGCAGAAAGCTGTTTCTGGGCTAAAAGCCAAATTTTCCGGGCTAAAAAATTTGGCTTTTAGCCCAAGGGTTGGAGATGGTCTTATGAAGACAAAATTTGTAGTCTAAATTTTGTGTAAATAAAATAGAAGTAGATGATTAGGTTACTGCATAGTATTGATTAACGTGCTTATTTTTTATTGGTGACACATCATTTATTTTTCAAATTTAGTATGTACATCATTACCTTAAACAAAAAAACAATTATTTGTTTTAGTCATATTTTATTGAGAGATTATAGAGAAACCAGCAGTTGGCGAGCAAGAGAATTTGATGATTATGATGTGATGATTTATCATTCTATTTTTTTTTCTTTTTTTGGTGAATAGAGGGGGTGAAGAAATCCCAGACGAACTAATACATAGCATTAATAACAATAGAGCGGCTCATAAGGACACCTACAAGATCATTTGTTAGATGTTGCATAAGCCATTAGGGAGGAAACTGAAAAGAACACAACCCAAGGTCCAAATTGTAGCTCCATTTGGCTAGCTAATCTGCAACATTGTTCACTTCCCTGAAAATATGCTTTAGTTCACAAAGCTCAATTCTCTCCTCAAATCCCTACAACTTTTCAAAAGGACAGCAAGGGGTGAAAAGCATCTTGCACATTCAACTTGTGCCAACCGAAAACATGAAGCTCCCACTTCAACATAACATGCATTCGAGAAGGAGGTTTATCAATTTTTAGAAGGGAATCCATCCATTCATATGCATATCCAACAATAACCTTTTTAGGATCACTAGGGTGGGAGAAAGCCACATTAAAAATCTGGTGGTTCCTCCATTTCCAGATATACTAGCAAGCAAGGACAAACAAACAATTTCATGCAATCTTGTTAGATCACATTACCTTGGACGTCATGTTAGCCATCAACCAGGCTTCCAAGTCCAAATTAAAAGTATTGCGCAATTGAGAAGGAATCCGAAAAATATCCCAAATGCATTCAGCTCTGCTACATTCCCTCAGAATATGTGTGATGGTCTCCAATGGGCAAGAACAAAGGTTGCAAGAGGAATTCACAATTAAGTTTCTTTCGGTTCTTTGCTCATTAGTAAGTAACTTACCTTGACCAATGGGCCAAAGGAAGAATTTAAGTTTGGGGGGGAGGGGATTTTGAGAGTCCAAATCCCAAGCCAATAAAAACAGGCCTTTTTTTACAATCATATAACACATTATAGGCCATTTTTACAATGAAAGTTCCATTTGAAGTGCATCCCCATATAAGTTTGTCCTCTTAATCACCAAAAGTCCCAGCAGGCCAACTAATTATTTTTTGGACCAAGTTTTTTGGAATAGCAGATCTTAGCTTACTAATGTCCCACCAACCACCCCGAATGAAAGAAGAGATTGGAAAGTCCTCATCGGGAAAGTTATTAGCATCAATATAATTAAATAAAGGATCATTCAACACCCAATGGTCTTTCCAAAACTTGACACCATCACCTTTCCTAATTCTCCATTTCATTCATTTGCGCAACAAATCAGTTCCATAAAGAATTCCTTTCCAAGTGTAAGAGTAGTCAAATTCATTTCCAAGTGTAAGAGCAGTCAGACTTCTTATGTAATTTAGTATCCAAAATAGAGTTCCCTTGCAAGTATTTCGCCTCATAGATTTTTGCCCAGAAACTTGTATCCTTAGCATGAATTCTTCATCCAAATTTACACTAATAAATTAAACAGTTTGCGCGATAAGGGAGAATTTGTCGCTCAAAGCATTTTTAGGTCGCACAAAAACTATGGCGATGCACAAATCGAGAAGGTCGTGAAAAAAGGCCTTACGCGATGCTTTGGTCTTCGTCGTGCGAAAGTTATACGTATAAGGGCCTTCGTCATACAATATATAAGGGTACAAGTGTACTTTGTGACGAGAAATTTCTGGGAACGTAAAAAATTTGTTTGGAAATAATTTGCACAACGAAGTGTATAAGATGCGCATAATTTTGTGCAACAATCAGTCGGCATCGTCCAAGTGAAATTTTAGAAAATAAATAAATTAATAGAATAAAAGGGAAATTATAAAAAAAATTCATACAAATGACAAAAAAAAAAGCAAATTAATAAATAAAAAATATTTTTTTATTTATAATATAAATAAAAAATGTACGTACAAATACAAAGTTTTAAAAGAAAGCGGGAACAAAACTATGAAAACAAAGTGGAATAATCAATAGGCAAATCGTTCAGAGGTGCTTGATAATCTTGTTGCTGGTAGGGGGTGGGGTTGGGGACGGGGTCGGAGGTCGATGGGCTTGATTGCTGTGCATGCTCGATGTGGAAGGGCTCTGAGGGCGGTGGTACAGAAAAACCAGGAAGACGTATTCCGGAGGAACTGAAGGCTTGTACAAGCATTGACATTTGAGACTAGTGCGATGCCAGCTCACTCATTAGCCCAGCAACTTCATGCGTCAAAGCCGTAACCTGGTCTTTTGACTGCAAAGATGACGAGGCTCCACTTTCCCGCCACCTGGCATTTCCCATCCCCCGACAATATGTCCTTGGCCTCCGACCGAAAGTTTGGTCTAACGTCTTTGTTAGGATGTGAAACCTTGCATCCTCAGGGGAACCACAAACTCGATCGGCGTGTCCGAGGGAAGCTAGGAGGCGAACTCCTGAAACACTGACTGACTTTTCTCCACCATAGTCGCCTATGAAAAAAAACATAGATTATTAATAGAAAACAATTTGAAATAATTAGTATAAATCTTTAATGCATAAGAAATTACTTACATGAAGGGACTCGGTCAACTCATCCCCAAGCCGAACATAAACGTCAGCAAAGACGTTAATCTCCGGAAATTTTGAACCTTTCTGAAATCGAAAGATAAGGAAAATGTTAGTACGAAAAAAAAAAATATTAGTGACATTTTAAAATTGGAAATGAAAGCTGTAATATATGCCTTCTGCTGCACCTCCATCCTATAGGAGAAATGCCTCGAACTCGAATGGTGGAGAAAAGTCTTCTTTTCCTGATTGATCATGTTGGCCTTCGCCTTCATTTGTTATACAAAAAAATAAACGTATAAGTTGTAATACTTAAAGAAAATAAAAAATAATAATAAAAATTAGTAAAAAATAAAAGAAAGTAAAATGAAAGAAGTTGTAATTAAAAACACACCACATAGCCCGCCTCCTGAAAATGACCACAGAGCCAAACCCAACTATCTTTTTGATCCTCGAACTCCTTCGGGCAACCCTCCTCGAAAGTGACATGCGGATCATCAAACTGCTGGAAATATTGGTGCAGGTCACTCTTCCACTGCTTGTAGCGTTCGGAGAAGAGCCGATTGAGGTACGCCAACATGTCCTCCAAATTGTAGTTTGTCTGCAATGTAACAAATATTATGAAAGTATTAGTAATAAAAGACCGTAATAAATATAAATATATAAATTTTACATGAAAAACATCAAAAAGACGACGCTACTTACGGACAATTGATTGCGGATCGTGTTCTTCGTCTCCTCCAGCATCGCCTTCAAAGACTTCCATCGCATAGAGCAAAAAGTCCGCACGACATGCCCAATGTCGTGGCCCAATGCATTATGCTGCTTCGCCGTTGGTGCTGCCCGATGTTGCTCATCATATCCGATTGGGATACGACCGTTGGTCACCCAGGTGACCTTTGCCGTCTTCAATTGCCAACAAGGTCCCTGGGTGTTTTTCTTCGCTGCAAAGAAATGAAAAAAAAAATCATTAACCCAAAACTAATAACAAATCCTACTAAAATTTCAACATAACCTCCCTTATAAATAAAACATTTCCCAAAACCTTGAAAATAACATAAACAATATACATATCCAACACAATGATCACAACAGTTAATAAAAGGGTCGGAATGATGACAACTTTTTAATCCTTACATGACATAACTTAACAAATTGAACCTAAAATAACAAAACACAAAGTACAAACATATAAGGGGACAAGGGATCCCTTTGCCTGATACCATTACTAGGCGTAAAGCTCTCAGTTAATTCACCATTAACACAGACCTGGTATTTAAAAGAGGATATGCAGTCCATAATAAGATGAATCAAACTTTCAGGCATGCCAATCTTCTAGAGCACCCCAC